AACAGAAAGTGGTGGTACCAATTATCTGGCTGGGCATGGTGACTCATGCCTGTAATCCCAGCACTTAGGGGCAGGCAGATCACCTGAGGTCAGGAGTTCAAGACCAGCCTGGCCAACATGGTGAAACCTCATCTCTACAAAAATTAGCCAGCAAGATGTAATCCAAGCTACTTGAGAGGCTGAGGCAGGAGAATCACTTGAATCTGAGAGACAGAGGTTGCAGTGAGCTGAGATCATGCCATTGCACTCCAGCCTGGGCAACAGAGACTCCATCTCATAAATAAATACATAAAATAAAATTAAAGTAAAGTAAGTTAGCCAGGTGGTGGTACCACCTACAATTCCAACTATGCAAGAGGCTGAGGCAGGAGAATAGCTTGAATGCTGGAGGCAGAGGTTGTAGTGAGCCAAGATATCACCACTGCTTGAATGAAAGAGACTCTTTCATTCAAAAAAAAAGAACAAGTACCATATTTCTAGGCACACTCTTATTTGCTGGAATCCAGTAGTGAGGAAATGCAAAGGAGAGTGAAGGAAAGAAATCCTTGTCCTCAGAGTTTATTTTAGGGGCAGCAGACATCTGGACATGTTCTACTGAAGACAATGAATGATGGTATTAAAATAATCAGCCAGGTGCGGTGTCTCACGCCTGTAATCCCAGCATTTTGGGAGGCGGAGGCAGGTGGATCACCTGAGGTCAGGAGTTCGAGACCAGCCTGACCAACATGGTGAAAACTCATCTCTTAAAAAAATTAATCAGGGTAGAGGTAAGTCAACCAGGGCAGGATTGGCTAGATTTATGCTGCTCATTTAAGTCCTCTTTGGGAAAGTGATATGAGGAAAAAAACTGAATAATGGTAGATCATGAACCAGCGTGCTAATTTGGGGAAGGAATTTTGCAAATGAAATACTGAGCTAGTGAGAACGTAGAAAAGTTTGGCTCATAAGTTACAAGATCTCATAACATAAGGCCCCATAGGCCACTGTAAAAGCCTTTAATTTTTTTTTCCCTCCCCTGGTTCAAGCAATTCTCCTGCCCCAGCCTCCTGAGTAGCTGAGATTACAGACGCGAACTACCACACACAGCTAATTTTTGTGTTTTTAGTAGAGATGGGGTTTCACCATGTTGGTCTGGAACCCCTGACCCTTAGGTAATCCACCCCTTTATTTGCACTATGCTTTTGAGCCTTTGGAAATAAAGGTGTCATGGTCTGACTTGCCGTTTAGAATGCTCTCAGGGTGATGGGTTAAGAAACTTCAGGAAGCCAGGAATAGTGGCTTTTGCCTGCAATGCCAGCACTTTGGGAAGCCGAGGCTTGTGGATCACTTGAGGTCAGGAATTTGAGACCAGCCTGGCCGACATGGTGAAACCAGGTCTGTATTAAAGATATAATTAGCTGGGCATGGTGTTATGTGCCTGTAGTCCCAGCTACGCGGCTGAGGCAGGACAGCTGCTTGACCCTTGGAGGCGGAAGTTCCAGTGAGCCAAGATCACACCCCCACACTCCAGTCTGGGCGACAGAGTGAGACTCCATCTCAAATAAGGAAAAAAATGTACCCTGTGTTCTAGCTTTTTTATCTTGTCTCTACAGCAAAGCTAAGTAGTAATGACATGATAAAGATTCTCTTTGCATTAGGATTACAGGTTCTAGTTGGAAGATAGGCTACAAACAGGACATGCAATTGACAGACTTGGAAGACAGAATATAAAGGGCTCGCCGTTCCATTTGTGAGCCTTTGCATTTCCTGGGAGTGATAGCCCATCTATAGTTCCCTGGGTTTATGAGCAGGGGCAGGATCACTGCTTCCCGATTACTGGATCCCAGCAGAAGTGGCTTATTCCTGAAGTCCACATCACTGGGGGCCATTCTCATCTATATTTCACTTCTCCAGTCCCTCTATATGACTTTGGAAGCACCCAGCCACCTATATTTAGTGTCTGGAAGGGTTTGCTCTTAAAATTCAATCCGGAGTGACACAGTCTGAGACATTGAGAACGTAGAAATTAAAGATTTCCAAACACTTTGAAAATGAAGCCGGGTGTGATGGCTCATGCCTGTAATCCCAGAACTTTGAGAGGCCAAGGCAGGCAGATCACCTAAGGTAAGGAGTTGGAGACCAGCCTGGCCAATATGGTGAAACGCCACCTCTACTAAAAAATACAAAAACTAGGCAAGCGTGGTGCCTCACGCCTTAATCCTAGACTGTGGAGAAACCCTGTCTCTACTGAAAATACAAAATTAGCTGGGTGTGGTGGCACATGCCTATAATCCCAGCTACTCAGGATGCTGAGGCAGGAGAATCCCCTGAACCAGGGAGGTGGAGGTCACAGTGAGCTGAGATCGTGCCATTGCACTCTAGCCAGGGCAACAAAAGTGAAACTCCA